GCAAATTTGTGTACACAGAGTCGGTCCCTTACCTCCCTCTAAAGTGCAAAGTTTCAAAAAGTTCAATGAATAGAAGATTGTTGGGGGCAGAATAGATCTGGAGAAGAAGAAGAAGTCTGGAGATAAATGTGAGAAGGGAGGGACAGGCAGTAGAAACAAAAGTGAAACTGTTTGAGCAGCATATTCCAGAAGTCTTGAGGTCTTTCTGAGTGTAGCCTTCATTGATTTGAAATCTACCATACCAGAGGTGGGCAAACTACGGCCCACGGGCCACATCCGGCCTGTGGGACCGTCCTGCCTGGCCCCGAGCTCCTGGCCTGGGAGGCTAGCTCCCGGCCCCTCCCACACTGTCCCCTCACCCCCGCAGCCACACCGCTGTGCAGCGCAGTGCTCTGGGTGGCAGGGCTGCAGAGCCCGGCCTGACTGGGTGTTCTGTGCTGTGTGGCTGTCTGTCCTGGTGCAGCCGCCCTGCCAGCCACCGGTGCTCCAGGCAGCACGGTAAGGGGGCAGGGAACAGAGGGGGTTGGATAGAGGGCAGGGGGTTCGGGAGGTGGGCAGGGGCTTGGATAGGGGTTGGGGCGATCAGAGGGAGGGGAGCGAGGATTGAATGGGAGCAGGGGTCCTGGGGGAGGCAGTCAGGAAGGAGAGGCGGGGTTGGATGGGGCGGTGGGGGGCAGTTAGGGGCGGGGAGACTGGAGGCGGTAAGGGGACCGAGAGCAGGGGGGGTGGATGGGGCAGGAGTCCCGGGGGGGCCATCAGGGAGCGAGAAGTGGGGTGGTCGGATAGGGGTCGGGGGTTGGGCCATGCCTGGCTGTTTGGGGAGGCACAGCCTCCCCTAAGTGGCCCTCCATACAATTTCAGAAACCCAGTGCAGCCCTCAGGCCAAAAAGTTTGCCTGCCCCCAATACCATACTGTTCTCTCACTAGAAGGAAAAACCTATAATGGCAGCAGGCCATAAAAGAGACACAGCTTGGTCTCATCTATCTCTAAGTTGTGAAGAATATGTATTAAGGTTATAACAACCAACAAGAATGCACTTTTATGTAGAAATCCATGATTAAATCGAGTCTTCCCGATGTAAATCAAATCCACCCTGGTACTGTGTATATATACAGCAAATGAGGCTTTGTCTGCCTTTCATTATTAATTTCTGCACTTTTCCCCGTTTTGGGTCACACACAGAGACTGCTTGATGGCTTCTTTCCATTTGCCAGTATTGTGCTTTATGGTGGAACCCTGCATTAGTCGGCTTGTTACTTCTGAATTTAAATTTTGAAGGGGAGAGGAATTCTCAGTCACTGATTAAAAATGAATCCAGTAGTACTGATCATGAGTCCCCTGACCCTGGATCTGGAACTGATTTGAAGCCTTAACTCTAAATTTGCTGGCTCAGTGGCTCTAGAGTCAGACCTTGACTATGCTTTATAATTTTTCTCTCCCTCTGGTGGTTTAATACTCTCTTTATCTGTTGCTTCCGAGTGTTCCATGCAGCGCGGGAACATGGAAAATGTGCTGACTTCAGAGGTCTGCTAACCGGTTATGCCTCCCTGAATGGGGGAGGGGTACAGGGTTCTGCTTCCAGGTGGCAGGTGTGCTCTTTTATTACCAGTGGGAGTTGCAAAGTTGTGTTTTTATTGCTGGGGGCCGTGCAAGCCAAATATTTAGTTTGCAGTCTGACAACCTGTCGGTTATTTCTACATGAAAATGGGTTTGGAAAAATGAAAGTACAACCTCCGTTTTAGCTCTTGTGATGCTAGTCCAATGATGTAGTACAAGCACCATCTCAATTTTAGCTACAACAAAGTGACAAAAGCGAGTGGCGTTATTAATGGTGAGAGCACGGGACTGGGAGGACTCTTACCTTCTGTTCCTAGCTTTGTTATGCTGGCCATGTCACCTGTCTTCTCTCTGTCTAAGCTTCTCCATCTGTAAACTGGGCACAAAGACCCTCTGGTTTCAGAGGGGGTGCAGAGGGTTTAAAGCAAGTCAGAAATTGACCCAAATGTCAGAGCTCGCTGCAGAAGTTTGTTGAAGAGAGAAAAGCATTTCTTTTTTTCAAGGTGTATGTAATGTAACTTCACTGATCCTTTAGGCGTGGGATTAGGCTTGTGAGATGAATGGAAGTCTGGGATTAGATTGATGATCGGGGAGCTATAGTCAAGGTTCTTAACATTATTTGTTTGATTTCTGAGGAAAAAATTTAAATAGGGGAGGAAAAAGAAGAGACAGAAATGGAAGGATTGTATATTTGCACAAAGAAAAGGAGTACTTGTGGCACCTTAGAGACTAACCAATTTATTTGAGCATGAGCTTTCGTGAGCTACAGCTCACTTCATTGGATGCATACCGTGGAAACTGCAGAAGACATTATATACACACAGAGACCATGAAACAATACCTCCTCACACCCCACTGTCCTGATGGTAATAGCTTATCTAAAGTGATCATCAAGTTGGGCCGTTTCCAGCAGAAATCCAGGTTTTCTCACCCCCCCCCCCCCCCCCCCCACACACACACAAACTCACTCTCCTGCTGGTAATAGCCTATCCAAAGTGGAGAGTGAGTTTGTGTGGGGGGGGGTGGAGGGTGAGAAAACCTGGATTTGTGCTGGAAATGGCCCACCTTGATTATCATGCACATTGTAGGGAGAATGGTCACTTTGGATGAGCTATTACCAGCAGGAGAGTGAGTTTGTGTGTGTGGTTTTTGGAGGGGGGTGAGGGAGTGAGAGAACCTGGATTTGTGCTGGAAATGGCCCACCTTGATTATCATACACACTGTGAAGAGAGTTATCACTTTGGATGGGCTATTACCAGCAGGAGAATGAGTTTGTGGGGGGGGGGGGGGCGGAGGGTGAGAAAACCTGGATTTCTGCTGGAAATGGCCCAACTTGATGATCACTTTAGATAAGCTATTACCATCAGGACAGTGGGGTGTGAGGAGGTATTGTTTCATGGTCTCTGTGTGTATATAAAGTCTGCTGCAGTTTCCACGGTATGCATCGGATGAAGTGAGCTGTAGCTCACGAAAGCTCATGCTCAGATAAATTGGTTAGTCTCTAAGGTGCCACAAGTACTCCTTTTCTTTTTGCGAATACAGACTAACACGGCTGTTACTCTGAAACCTGTATATTTGCACAGTAAAAGTCATGCCTTGACTTTTATTTGTTATACTCCCAAAAGCCAGAGGACTTTTCCTTGCTCTCCTCTATCCCTCCTCTGGGTAGGAAGCTACCTTTGTGGCTCTGTCTGCCCTATGCAAAACAGGCATTCCAAACAAACCATTGGTTTGGATACACTGAGCTTCTCTCACCTGTACAGCTACTCATGTCCCCTTGCAGCAGCTGTCCCAAGTGTTCTGCAGGTGGTGGCTGTACCATTCAGTTGCCGCACCTGGGATGAAGTCTGTCATTCAGACTTGGCTGAATGGATGTAGTCTTAAAAGGTCTCTTGCCATGAGAATTGCAACTGCACTTGTTCAGCCAATCCTCTGAACCCCATCCCTGTGAATGCAGTGCCCCATGTTTGGAAATTACACAAAAGCCTCTTCTCCCAGCAGCAGGGCAAGGCAATATGGGGTAGGTACTGGAAGGGTTCTAGCGTGCACGGGTCCTGGTGTGGTTATAAGATGTGCTATGCTGCAGGAATAAATGAGGGGACCTGCCACATTATGTAGTTTACCCCAAGCGAGGGAACTGTCACAGGGACATAAGAAGTCCCCTGGTCTTTCTCCTCTTCCTTCCTCAGTTGTCTCCAGTCTTCTCTCTGCTCATTCCTTTTCCTTGCTGCTTATCTCCCTTCCCCCACCTTCCAGCACTAATGGATTTGGACACTGGCAGTGGTTCTAGTTCTGGTGACTAGCATCCGGGGGTCCTGGAAATGCTGATAGCGTTCTGTCAGCTGTTGCTGATAGCTCCTTTTGTGCTTACTGCTGGTACTGCTCTTCTCAGTGATTCCACTGGTACCACCTGTTGTGCATCGCTGTGGGAGACGGGGGAAGGGGCATCAGGTCAGCAGTGCACAGCTTCACAGGCATGGCAGCACCCTGGTCGTCATCTCTGCTTATCCAGAAATCAGGGGCATCCAAGTGGAGAATCACACTCACCTGTGAGTTGTGTATGTCCTGTAATGTACACATGCGCCTGTAGGGCACAAGGAGATGGGGTGGAGACAGGAATGTCTATTTAGGGGCTTAGAGGAAGGATACATTTTCTGTGCATGTGATCATGGTGCAGGAGGATAACAGGTGGCCTGTGAGGGACAATATGGTGTCAAATCCAGGTACCTAACAGTCTCAGCAGAGAGAGCTGATATCTGCCATTTTTGTTCACTTCTTATGACTGAGACTATATACATGAAGCACCCCTGACATGCAGCCACCTGTGGGGTAGAAGGTGGCCAGTCAGGGCACAGCAACAACAAAGATCAGGGGATCTTCACATCTTTTCAGAACTTCAAGTTAATGTCTCCCTTCTCACCAACTAGCATAAACTGCACAATATTGAATCTATCTACCTTGGAAGGACAAAGGGTTGATTTGACTCCTACTGGGGTTTAAATCTGTGGCTGTAGAGAGTGCATGGATTTCAGGCATGAGGACTAGACAATCCCAAAGCCATTCTTTTTAGTAATTGTTTTTTTGGCAACATTACAAGATAATTAAAAATTCTCAATATTCTTATTTGAGAGAGTACATAAGCATATTAGACAACTTTTTTATTTAGTTGTGCTTTTTAAAATGCAATTCTACTCTGAAAAGTGGCTGTGAAAATGGCATCTTGGGATGTTATATTTGTCTCTTGATGACTCCAGATCAAATTACTGTACTCTGTTTACAAGTAAAAGTTTGGTTTTTTTTTCTAACTGCCAGCCCTGCAAACTCAAACTGGGATCTGAGAGCCAAGCTGGGTGCTTTTCAGCTTGCACATCATCACCAGCAACAAAGGCTGTGCATAACAAATACTGCCTTCAATGCGACCCCCTTTTGCCTTGGGTTTCAGAGCTGCAATTGAAAGAAGGTTTTGGCCGTGCATTGGAGCGGTTCTGAGAAACAATTCTACTGGTGATGCACAAGCCAGAATAGACGCCAGCTCGCTCTCCAGTAGCTGTGCTGGTTCTGCAGGGGTAACGAGTAAAGAGTAGAACATACTTAGTTTTGTCTCAGGTGAGCAGCTGGATACACGTAGGGGTCAGGTGTGTTGGAATAAGAGATTATGAGCACTGTTACGCGCTTTTCAGAGTTGAACCATACCTTAAATGAAACAAATAATTAAAAACCTTACTATTTTTCTTAAAGGAACACTGGGTTTAAGGCTCAAAATGTAGTTTTCAGTCCAAATTCATTCCTGATGTAGCTGCATTGACTTCCCTGGAGTTAAACCAGGGGTGAATCTGGCCTGTTTGTGTTTATTAAAGAAGTGGGTGGTATGCAAGTTTTACTCTTCTTTACACCAGGGTAATTTGAGACTGACTCCACTGAAGTCAATAGAGTTATATCCATATAAATCTTGAATAACAGAGATCGGGGGTGTGTGTATTAAAAAGGGTTTTCATATACATTCTTATTTAACAATGGAAACCCTCCAGCATCTGTGCTAAGGTCTAAAGCCAGAAGGTGAAAGTGGCTTTGCTTTCAGTGTGCAAGCTGATAAGTAAACAAACTCCATAAATTGCTAGACACAAATTAGATTTGTTAAATTCTTTGCATGAATTATTGAATATGCAATGGATAACACAAGGAAATAATTTTTTTAAGTGCCCCTTTAATGCCTATAGTTAAATTACAGACCCCTGGATATTATGCCCTCTACCGTACAGCATTCCTTTAGGGAGAATTAGATGAATAGTTTCCCCAGTTTATAAAATAATCTTGTTTTGCTTAAAATGCCTTTTAAAGTTATTCCTTTCATGTTTTAGAGTCTTCCATCCTTCCTCTTTCACAGTTTATAAGAAGTCTCAGGAAGCTTCAAGTGAGTTCTATAGTATATACTATACCTTCTGTAGGATACATGCTGGTTTGTTATTGTACAGATGCTCATGACTGAAAGTGGCCAGTGGGAAGTCCCCTACATGGCCAATACATCAATTGTACAGAACTCATTTATTAGTGAATTGCCTTACCTAACCTATCACAAGCACAAGTGCTCCACTGAGGGCTAAGTCTGTGGCAAGTTTGAGGTCTAAAAATCATTAGTGCCTTAAGAAAACACAAAAGACAACATCATTTTCTTTTTAAGGTGACCTTCAAAGGACTTTTTTTTTTTTTTTACAGTTGAGCTTGTACCTTCTTTTCCTTCATTACAATAGATTTAAAAAAAAAAGCCTGTGGTTTCTTTTCTGCTTGTATTTTACCTTAAAATATCAGAAACAGGGGATCAAGTCTAGCCGTCCCTAATTTTGCAGGAGAACTTCTTAAAGGTCTAAAGAAACTACTGCAAGTTTTCATGCATGAATTGAAAAGGCAAAGAGGCTTCCATTCTTCACAATGTTAATTGGTTATTACAGTTCACTTGATATTAACCAAAAAAAGTTTTAAATAAATAACAATTAAAAAAAAAAAAACCTTTCTCTCTCAGCCCAGATTGCTCAACTTTCACTCTCTTGGCTGTAGCCCTGTCACCATTTCACTAGTTCTCCAGGCACCATAATTTCTTCCACTCTAGACAAAACTTTGAAATTCTACTGTACAAACATAAACAGATTAAAAAAGGGGAGCAGTCTTAGTCCATTTCCCCTCGTTTTTGCAAGCTATCTTTACAGGTGCACATGCAAAATAGTCATCTCAAAAAAGAGCTCAACCGATCTCGTTGAAATTTTATGAAAATTGGCCTTCAGCTGGAGAGTGTGCATAAAACATATTAGTACAAAATGGAAGTTCTTTGAGGACATGTTTAGGGTGGAATGGCTCTTTCGTAAGCTGTGTCCATGATGACAGTGATGTGACTTGCTCAACATACTTCTTGGCATCTCTGTGACTCTTCAGGATTTTAAAGGAGGTGATAATTGGCTTATAATTAGAGATAGGGGCCATCTGCAAATTTTAAAGCCAGATCCAAATTTTCCTAGAAGTTTGGGGTGTTCAGATGCAGGGCTTTGATTCAGGCTCCGTTCTTGCTCAAAGGTATTGGAAGGTACACTTTCTTGGAAACTTACAAACAGGTCAAGGTGCTTTTAGTCTGGGTTTCACCTTCAAGACCCTGATCCTGGAAAGTTGCCCAACGTGGAGTGACTTGCAGGACTGAGGCTCCAATTTACAGCTGTCGCTCACATTTGTCAATCTGTTAACCATCAAATCCCACTAAAATTCTGTAAGGATAAGTCATAGATATATTTTAAAAACAGTAATCATGGAATTAGTGACTGCTGCACCAGAAGTTCCAGCTTTGTACTATTAATCTGAGCTGCACAGTCGGTGGATCCATTTTTCTTTTTTTAAAAGTAAACGCATGATAGTTTTCAGTTTAAAGAAATTAATAAATTCACATGCATTTAAAAAGCTTGCTTTTATAAGGGCAGAGTGTGATAGTAAGACATTCACATCTCTCTGGGGTCATTTTCTTTGCCAGAGTAGAGTGAGATGCTGTTTTGCTAAAACTAGCTGTAAACTAGTCAATGGCTGACACTGTTTGACGTCCAGTGTACACAGAGCCTCATTTTCCACCAACTTCAAAAACTGTTTTCCAACTGTAAATTGTTTTAGAAAATTATGGAGAGCAGTTTATCTTTCACAGTTTCTTACATTGAAGCAAAGAGAGGTTCATTTCATTCTTGCTGTTACACTAGAGCACATAATTCTGCTTTGCTTAGTGACTAGAGATCATCTGTCCAGCTTCTCAGCCAAGAGGAGGTTATACTATTCATTGGCAATTCATTTACACAATCACTTCTTAAAGGCATAGTGCTAATATGTCTTAATGTTTACCTGTAAGCACTGTTCCATCCTATTCATTCAGGCAGACAAGGGACCTAAGATTGTTTTAAAGGGTCAGTGGCCCCAGGGTACCAATATTGGGGTAGGGTATTGGTAGGAGTCCCAGGTTTGCCAGTAGTTTCTGTGCAAATAAATGTGGCTTCTTTCTGGATGGGTTGACCTGGTCTCAACTGTGAGGTGGATCACTGGAGGTTTTCAGCTTAATTAATACTGCTGTTCCTCCCCACCTCTTTCTCCCCTGCAGAGCTGGGAAGGCTTTTGGGTTGTTGTCTGGGTCTCAAGGCAGAGCCTGCTGGAGGCACTGGAAGTGGATCGGTTCCTGGTCATGCCCGGTGGAAGGAGGGGACCCAGTCGGCAGCAGCTAAGCCGTTCAGCTTTGCCTTCTCTCCAGACTTTGGTTGGCGGGAGCTGTGGCAACGGCACTGGTCTGAGAAACAGGTGAGGACAAAACAGTATGGCCAGCAAGACACACTATGATACAGTGAGTAGGTGTTTTCTAATGGTTAGAGCAGAAGCCTGGAAACCAGGAATCCTGGGTTCTGTTCCAAGCTCTGTGAAGCAGTCTTACCTAATGGCTGAAGCAGCAAATTGGTAGACCAGAACCTTGAGTTCTTTTTAGTGGCACTGGGAGGGAGTAGGTCTAGTGGTTAGAGCACAAGCTGGGACCCAGGATTCCTGCATTCTATTCTTGGCTCTCCGAAGGAGAGTGATCTGGTGGTTAGAAGGGAATTCCTAGATTGTCCCCCTGGCTGTGCCACTGACTGACCCATTTCCCTGTATGTCTCCTTTCTGTTTTACATTTTAATGTCTGTCCCAAAGAGAGAAAATGTTCACAAGCATAGCATTCCCCTTGTGTCACTGGAAAGGACAGAGTGATAGAGACTAGGAAGGCACAATTCTCATCTGTTTCCCCAGCAGCAAGATTGGGGGCCATGAATCCTAGAACTGTGGAATCCTGTATCACTGTAATGTGTCAGAGCATAGGCGTGATTCTCCCTCTGCTGCAAGGTGGGAGGAAAGCTAGAACAGAAGGGTGTATAAGGGGAGATGCGCTGCCACTAGGGTATGAGGTTGGGGAAGTAACTTCTCTTCTTTATGCCTTAGTCCTCCTCTGTGAAATGGTTATAATAATCCTGGAGAAGTTGAGAGGCATCTATGGAAGAGGCCAGGGAAGAGTGTTGACTGTGTTAAGATGAGCAGGGAGCATCTACTTTCCCTGTGCCAGATGTGTGAATGATGCAAACTCTGGTCAGCAGGGTTCTGCTTTCCTTAATCCCATGCCCCCCGCACCATTCAGTATCACCCTGAAACCTTAGGGAGGCAGCTTGAGCCAGCACAGGATGCTGACCCTACAATTAATGGCGTCTGTCTGTTTCAGGAATGGTAGTGCTATCAGCCTCTCAGCTCCTCCCATAACGGCCCTGATCACCCCAGAGCCTGTGCGTCACTGCCGGATCCCTGACCTGCCACTGGACGGGAGCCTTCTCTTTGAATTTCTCTTCTTCATCTACCTGCTAGTGGCGCTCTTTATTCAGTACATCAATATCTACAAGACTGTCTGGTGGTATCCCTACAATCACCCTGCCTCCTGCACCTCTCTGGTGAGTTCCCCATTGTGACGTTCCCCTGGTGTTATCTGAACCGGTGATCTGCTAGGTCACTGCAATCCTCGACTCTGGGAGCCAGTCTTACCATGCTCTGCTGTGAGAACCCCCACTCCCGGGCTGTTCACGCACAGCCTCAGGCATGTAAACTGCTCCCAGCTACTTGAGTGAGCACTTTTGGCCGACCGCTGCTTGGATTATGCAACCAAATGATGCTAGCCAATATCTCCGGTCCCAGACACAACCCTAGGAACCTCCATCTTGCAGTGTACAGTTAGGTCAGCTGGACGCTACAAGCTTATATGAGTTCGTCAATTTAGCAAAGAAATTGATATATACCAGGCTTGTTATCCCAAGGGGAGTCTCTGACATGCTTCAAACCAAACACACTGCTTCAGGTAGAATAAACCAACAAATTTATTAATTACAAAAGATAGATTTTAAGTGATAAGTCAAAGCACAACAAGTCTGATTTGGTCAAAGGAAATAAAAGCAAAACACATTCTAAGCTGATCTTAACACTTACAGTGCCCTTTCAAATGTATATGCTTCTCACCACAGGCTGGCTGGTTGCCCTTCAGCCAGGCTTTCCCCTTTGATCAGCTCTTCAGTCGCTTGGTGGTGGTGTCTGTAGATGGAGGTGGAAGAGAGAGAGCATGGCAAACATCTCTCTCTTTTATCATGTTCTTTCTTGCCTCTTGGCTTCCCCCCCCGCCCCACCCTTCATAGTCAGGTGAGCATTACCTCATTGTAGTCCCAAACTGACCAAGGGGATGGGCGTGACTCACTTGAGAGTCCAACAGATTCTTTTGTTGCTGCCTAGGCAAGTGTCCTTTGTTCCTGTGAGGCTGGGCTGGGTTTGTCCCATACATGCCCTGATGCGGTGTGAACTGCCCCTCTGCTCCTAGAGAGTTTTGCCTGGGCTTGTTTTAAGCCATGAGGACACATTTTCAGCCTCATAACTATATACATGAAATTACAACCTATAACATTACTTCAACAACAGTGCTCAGTGCATCATGAGCCTTCCGAAGACATCCAACATGACAAACTTTGCATTGGATACCACTCAATTCTATTATAAGGATGAACATAGGGGTGCAGGGCATAGGTGCCGACTTTAGCTGGCACTGGTGGGTGCTCGTGCCCCACTCAAGCTCCCCCCGGCCCTGCCTCAACCTCCCCCCCCCCCCCGGCCCTGCCCCAACCCCTGTCCCATTCCAACCCCTTCCCCAAATCCCCACCCCTGCCTCCTCCCCTGGGCGTGCCGCATTTCCCCTCCACCACCCTCCCTTCCAGGCTTGCACGCGGCAGGCCTGGGAGGGGGAGAAGCGGAGTGGCAGCACGCTCAGGGGAGGAGGCGGAGGTGAGCCCGGGGGCGGGGCGCGGGGAGGGCTGTAGGAAGCAGAGGTGACCTTGGGGGCGGGGGGTGCAGAGGAACCGCTCCCTGCCCCAGCTCACCTCTGCTCCGCCTCCTCCCCCGAGCGTGCCACCGCTCAGCTTCTCCCCCCTCCCTCACAGGCTTGCCGTGCGCGAAACAGCTGATTCGCAGCAAGCCTCGGAGGGAGGGAAGGGGGAGAAGCGGAGCGGTGCCGGAGTCTTCAGGGGAGGAGGCGGAGGTGAGCTGGGCGGGGGGGAGCTGCTAGTAGGTGCTGAGCACCCACCAATTTTCCCCCGTGGGTGCTCCAACCCTGGGGTACCCACGGAGTCAGCACCTATGGTGCAGGGTGTTCTCCTGAGGTACAGAGCATCACACCCATCCTCAGAGAGCCCGTGTCTCCTCATTACGTAGCTTCTCCTCGTGGCTCCTTCAATCCAGAGATGGATGAGCATTTGACATAAATGAGTGAAATAAGCCCCACAATCTGCCAATCCGGTAGGGTTATAGAGGTGAAGAGACTTAGTCCCTTAGTTGACCTGCAAGGTCCCTTAGCGGAAATTGTAGATGAAAATGTTGATCTGATATTTACCAGTTCTAGTCCGCACCTTGGTTTTGGAATGGAGCAAAGGGTCTGTTAGACTCCTGGCTTGTGGAATGGCTACTCCTGTAGTCAAAACCAACTGTGAGCAACAGAAACCAATTGAAGAAGATAGCTGGAATTTCCATGAGAGTCACAGAGCAAATCAGCAGCAGAGTTACACTGATATACAACAGCTGAGGCTCTCCACTGACTTCAGCTCTCCTGAGTTTAATGTAGGCCTTAAGCACCAACATTGCCTTCCTGAGTCACACTGGGTTGGCCCAGCAAGGTGAGCATCCTGCCTTAGGGTGGTGGCTTATGCCTGATGCTTCCAAATTGGACAAACCTCCTCAGAATGCACTTAGCCAGTTAAGCAGTACTGCATATGGGGTGGGCGGTAATCCTTCTTCGAAGCATGAGGTTTTGATTTGATCTCTCAGTATTCATACCTATAAACATTATTGGCAATGAAATTATTTCGCTGTTCTTTTGAAATTCAGCTACAGTACAGGCCTGATTACTCTTATCTGTGAAGAAAGAATGTTCTGTCTTAGATCTTCTCTGTGAAATCTACCTTACTTATCTCATCTCTGCCCCTATCAGAAGCCAAATGTTCTTATTCACTCGAGGAACTTCCAGGTACTAGACACAAAGTTCAGTGGCACCCAGGCTTAGCCCGTTGGACAGCTGTACTGGCAGTTTCCAAGGACCCCAAAAGCTGTATCTAATTACTGTATCTGATACTACAGCAGCTGCTGCTAACTTTAATACAGAGCTGTGGCCTGTGGAGATGACAGTTCTCAAATCAAGCTGGAGTATTGCGTGCTGGAACTTGTGGTCTCCACAGCCCATATTGCTGCCTAAAGAACAAGACAGGCTGCCTTGTTCTGGGAACTGCATTTTGGAAACCCCTTTTCTGGTTGGTAATGTTACCTTTCCAAGAGAATTTGTGCACAGTGCTCCTCAAGATGCTACGGACTATAGATCTGTCTTTGGCTCAGGGTTTTCTTTCTAAGCTGTAGTTGTTAAGGGAGCCGGGACCTGTGTATGGTGCATGTCTTGCTTCCTCACTCCCCGGGGGGATCCGGTGTGACAAATTTGCTAGCTTCTCTTCCCCCCACAACTGGCAGACTTGATGCTTACTCATCTGAGCTCCTGGTTCTCCCCACTCCAGCCAGCCGAGCAGCCCCACCCCCGCCAGGTAGGTTTCACTGGTGCCTTCTCCTGGTGAAAACCTTTTCTTTTTCCTCCTTTAGAATTTTCACCTCATTGATTACCACCTGGCAGCGTTCATCACGGTGATGCTGGCACGGAGGCTGGTGTGGGCCCTCATCTCCGAGGTAACATTCTGCAGTTGCTTCCTCTACCACGTCTAGATACTTGTCCTAGAGAGGTCTTTAGTGAGCTGAGTGAATTCATGTGTGGGGAGGAACAGCCCAAATGTCCAACACCTCAGTATGGCTGTGAAGGGCTGAGCACGCTGCTTTGATGGTGCCCATGGAACTCCCCCTTTACCTCTGGGCTGTGCTCTGCTCCCTGGCTCCCACCTGCCCTGTAGCATTCAGGAGCATCCTGGCCTTTGTGTTCTCTCTTTGAGAACTGGAAGGAGGTGAAATGGTCTCACTTCCTCTGTGGGAGTCATCTGGCTGCTGGCATTTGGGAGGAGCAGCGAAGGGAATTGCAATAGTTGAGGCAGTGAAGGAAAGAATAGGTTGCTCAGCCAAGGCTAAATTCTGATGATATTCTAGAGGGGAAAATAAGAGATTTCCAGACAAGGGAAATGTCAGAGATTCAAGGGAGTTCAAAGTCATGGCTAAAATGGGTATAAAATAAAGGCTGAGAAGTTAGTGAAATAGGAAGCGTGCATAGCTGGTAGACCTGCTCTTCTTCAGCTCTGGTTGCTTTTCAGAAGCCTCCCAGGAGCACAACATTCCTTGATTTTACTGAGAATTGTGTCTGTGTATTTGAGGGCAGAAGTGGTCCAAGTTTGGGATGGGAAAGATCACTTGGGCCGCCAACAGTTTTGCAAATGAAAAGACAAGTAAGTGTTGGAAGCTCTAGCCACTGGGATAGTTAAAGCTGGGACAGACAAAACATTGGAAAATGTACAGTAGGGAGCAATCCTGCCCTGTTCAGCAGGAGACTGGATTAAGTGGGACCTCAAAAGCTCTTCTCCGTCTCTGAGTTCTATCTTTTCCACTTAAGATATCGTCCTCAGTAATGCCTCCCCTAGACCATTCTTGGATTTCTATGATAATGGGGCCTTGAAACCCCTTGCTGAGGAATCTCTTATATGGCCTGCTCAATTGCTGACTCCTAAGAATTTTTTCTTAATGTAATCTGCTTTGACCTCTTCAGAGACCACAGATAATTCCTTTATTGTAATCTTGAATGCATCTTCTCTTTGAAAGACTGCAGTCTGTAAATATACTGGAGTAGGGGGAGAGAATGTTCAAGATGCAACATGTGTCTCGTCATCATGGAGCAATAAAGGGCTAACAAAATATTTGTTCCCTACTTTGCAGTTCAACTTTAAAAGGCCCTGTTCTAGGAGTAACCTAGCACAGGGGTCATCAACCTTCCACATGTGGCCCATCAGGATAACCAGCTGGCGGGCCGCGAGACATTTTGCTGACGTTGACCATCCGCAGGCATGGCCCCCTGCAGCTCCCAGTGGCTGCAGTTCACTGTTCCCGGCCAATGGGAGCTGCGGGAAGCTGCGGGCTGCAGGGACGTGCTGGCCTGTCACTTGCAGTGGGTTCAGGCTGGGCTCTAAATAATCACTATTATTTTGGATTGTCCCAACCAACGAATGGGCTCGAAGAACTACCTCCCAACATCCCTCGCCATCTCTGTTCCTGGGGAAGAGGGCAGCAGTTACTCCACTTCAGCTGGAATCCTGCTGACCCTCTTTCTCCCCATCAAGTGCCTGCCACATAGTCATACCATGGCACTAGGTAATTCTTTCTTCTGGGTTTTGAATTTGCAGGCCTCTCAGGTGGGCGCAACGTCAGTGATTCACTACATGGCACTGATTATGGCGCGCCTGGTGCTGCTCACGCTGTGCGGTTGGGTGCTCTGCTGGACTCTGGTCAATCTCTTCCGCAGCCATTCTGTGCTCAACCTCCTCTTCTTGGGCTACCCGTGAGTATTGCCCTTACCTTGGGGAAAGGACAGGGCCATGAGCCCCAGTGGAGGTGGGAAATGCGTGGCCTCAGCCATGCTGGGAATGTTGTACAGAGAAAAACTGCTGACGTGTGACCCATGTTGGAGGGGTGTGTGGTTAGAGGAGTTCCTGGCTTCTGAACTCCAGTTGGGTAGGAGTGTGTGGGGGAGAAGGTGTCTGAAGGAGAGGAGAGCCATTAGCTCTGGCGCCATGGAGAGAAGTGGTGGATGTACTGTTAGTAGTAAGTGGGTTTATTGAACCTCAGATGTGGGCTCATGGATCTCCTAGCCAAGAATTTTAGAGAGACAACTCTGTGCCACGCAGAGGCTCCGTTTCTTATAGGGAGGAGACCATTGGGCTCTGAGTACCAGGCAGCGCTGGCTTCCGTGGAGTTTCTCCCTGGAGTGCGCTTGTGTCTGTTCAATGATGGCACTTGGTCTCGCGTGTGGTCAGCAGCCATCTCACCCTCCTTTCCCACAGGTTCGGTGTCTACGTTCCCCTTTGCTGCTTCCACCAAGACAGCAGAGCGCAGCCCCTCCCAACGGACTGCAGCTACCTGGTGCAGGATCAGATGGTGGATGACGGGACCTCAGGCATAGGCAGCCTGGTTAAACCCAAAGACTTCCTCTCGCTCCTGCGGGAGTCCCTGAAAGAACAGTTCAATAACCCTACGGCCATCCCCTCACACAGTTGTCCCCTCTCCCCGGACCTCATCCGCAATGAGGTGGAGTGCCTGAAAGCGGACTTCAACCGCAGGATCAAGGAGGTTCTCTTCAACTCCCTCTTCAGTGCCTACTATGTGGCCTTCCTGCCGCTGTGCTTCGTGAAGGTAGCTGTTGTCCACCTTGGGCGCTCTCCCCGGCTCTCCCCCTCCTCGCTGCTGCCTCCTCAGTTTTGCACGAAATCGTTGACGTGCCAGATTACTGGTTAATCCCCCTTTTTTCTGTCTCCCCTTTTGGCAGCCTGGATGGTGGAGTGTGGCTGCATCTGGAATGCACTAGTACCGCTCCTGGTTGGCGGATAGGTATTGCCATACACGTGATGCACCCGTGGTCCCCTCCCCCCGTTTACTAACCCCCATTCTCTTCCCCAGACCGACAGATAACTGTGGTCATGCCACAAGTGGGCCCTAGCTGCCATGTTCACCTCCCAAGTTTCGCCAAAGGTTGGGGCGCGTGTGTTCAGATCTGTTTTGGTTCGACCTGTTGTAGAACAGGGCCAGCAGGGAAGTCTGGACCTGAACCAAAGATCTGCAGTGTTGGTGCCAGGGCTGTGTTTTGGTTCTCTAAATTGTGCCGGGCTCAGTGCCTATGAACTAAGAAATCGGGGACTTTCACCGTCAGCCCAGTTTCTGTTGTCCATTGTTGTGCGACTGGAGCTTGTTAAGATTGTCTGATCATTAATCTGCTGCAATGAAGGGAAAGGGCTCCACAATCCATGGAGCAACCCTGGTCCATGTACGCTCCATGGCTCAGCTACCCTTCTGGTATCAGCTGCTGGGGGAGGAGATGCACAAGTACATCACAGGCTGCATCATCCCCTGCCCATTCTCCTCTAGGCCCAGGAGAAGGAACTCTGAGGTGTCTCCTAGGTGGTAACCCTCCGAACTCACTGGCCTGGCAGTGCATGCCTGTGAAGTCTGGAGCTGGTCTGCTGGTTGTACACAGCACCCCCCTATGCTCTCTGCTGTGACATGCCAGCGGCGCTAACCTCCCGTCCGGTCTCTTGCAGAGCACCCAGTACTACGACATGCGCTGGTCCTGCGAGCACCTCATCATGGTGTGGATCAACGCCTTCGTTATGCTCACCACGCAGCTGCTGCCCCCCAAGTACTGCGACCTGCTGCACAGATCAGCCGCCCACCTGGGCAAGTGGCAGAAGCTAGAACACGGCTCATACAGCAACGCCCCACAGCACATGTAAGTGCAGGCCGGGAGGGGTCAGTGCGCTCTCCCCATTAAACGAGGGCATTCTAAGATGCGGCTGCTGGGTTTACAGTGAGGAAGCGTCTCCATTCTTCCTAGGATTAGATGGAAAGGTCATGGGTGTTCTGCTCTGTCTGCACTGCCAGGGCCAGCACTGCCCACCCTCTGAGCGCTGTCAGCTTCCTCGTGGCAGTGCCCTGGCAGCAGTGGCTCTTGTTCCCCTGGAACTCTCTGTCACTCTTGCAACCACCCAGAGCAGTTAGTTCACACCGACCGGGTGGTGGGATGTTTGCCTAACAGCCCCACTGCCGCTAATGCAAGATGCTCTTGGTTCTTGTGGTGGGAGGGCTGACTTTTATTAAAAATAACGTATGACTGAAGCCTGGGGAGGAGGATGAGAGCCCAAGCCCTGCTGTGGGGAGGCCCAGCACCTGCTTGCTCAGGGCTCCAGGGTCCCCCTGCTGCCTGCGGCGGCTTGGAGCTGCATGGCTGGGAGCTGGTGAGGGGTCCCCTGAAGGCTGAGAGCTCCGGCCCTGCTGCCCCAGGGCTGAGGTGGAAAATGTCACAGAGGTCTTTGGAAGTCACAGAATCTGTGATATCTTATCCTTATTAATGGGGCTCTGCTTGGTCTTATTCCTGACTTGGTCTTAGACTCAGTGTGTGATCTTGTCACCACTCCATGTCTCTGTTTCCCTGAAAGGAATAATGATACTTACCTGCTTTTGGCAAGTGCACTGAAATTCTCTCACGAGACATGAGCTCTTGAGCTGATCAAGGGAACACCCCACCGTTCCCATCACCACCCGCTGCCTCCTGTAGGCTAATGGCACGTCTTTCTTTTTCTCCTCAGCTGGTCAGAAAGTACGATCTGGCCACAGGGCGTGCTGGTGCGGCACAGTCGATGCCTGTACAAGGCTGTCGGGCCTTATAATGTAGCAGTGCCTTCAGACGTCTCCCACGCCCGCTTTTATGCAAGTATCTCTTCTCCTGATATGTCCTCCTGGGAGGGGGAATGGGAGGGGGGGTTGAGCACTGCTGCAGCAGAGCAGGTGGAGATGAGACTGAATTGAAAGTCAGGCGGAAGGAATAAATTGGATTCTTTAATCCAGCAAAGCCGGGGCCTGGTCCCCCCTTTTTCTTAATTTCCTGCTCTTCATCTCAGGGCCCTCTAAAGTTTTCTAATGTGCATTGCAGACTGGCACTCGATACAGAGCTCCATTTCTGCCATGAACACATACTTCATCGATTTGTTGCACTCTTGGTGCTAAACCTCTTACTGAAACAACTGCAGGGTAGTGACTAGCAAAGAATAAGACTTAAGGTGGTTGGACTGCTTTTAGTTTGAGTCCCCAGAAGGCCTGGCTTTCTTTCCTAATTATAGGTCCCCTTTATTTTCTTTTCTCTCGGTTCAAGTAGTTTTGTTTTAAATATATGGCCCCCTGTAGTTTTGCAGACATTTAATTCTAGATGTGGCCCGGCGGCAGCTGCTGCTGCCCTGAAAGTTGAAAATGGCAAAAGAATTGAAATGCAGAGTTGCTCTGGTACTTTGAGGGCAGAGAGGGAGGGAGAGATGGAGCCTGTATTGTCCGTTGCAGTGTGCACCTAGGTTCGTATGCATGTGTTTGGGGCCTGTGTTTAATACACTGGTGAATCTCAGTTCAGCTCCTAGGAGTGATGTGACTGTGTCCCAAATGGGCACTCTTGTTGGCAGTCACAGCAAAAAGGCCAACGATTGAATGAGGAGAGTTCACTCTCTGTGGCTATCAGTCAGGGTGAGAAGGGGAAGGGATTTCAGCCCTGGGTAATTGCTTCTGCTGGTTCTGGAGAGAGGGGCTTTCCACTCACAGTGCTCAGCTAACCGGAAAGCAGTGTCAAGTCCAGAGCAGCAGCACGTGCCCCTTAGCCATTCTCCAGAATCGCTGTAGCATTGTTGCCCCGCATAGTAACACATTTCAAAGCAGGGAATCCAGATTGCCAGGGCATTTTTCTTGGTTGCCAGCTAGCAGCTGATCTGGACATTACAGAGTATTTACCCCAATGCCCGAGGCCCTACAACTGCTACAAAAATACTCTGTCGGCTTCTTTACCAGAGCAAACCACAAATATGCTGATTTTTCTTTTCCCCCCTGCAGTTCCTCTTTCACCGTCCATTACGGCTGCTCAACCTGCTTATCCTCATCGAAGGCAGCGTCGTCTGCTACCAGCTGTACTCCCTGCTGCGCTCGGAGAAGTGGAACCACACCCTCTCCATGGCCCTCATCCTCTTCTGCAATTACTATGTCTTATTTAAGCTCCTTCGGGACCGGATAGTATTGGGCAGGGCCTACTCTTACCCCCTCAACAGCTACGGACTCAAGGCACATTAACCTGCCAGATGCACCAAGGGGTGGGGGGGAAGGGGAGGGAATCTCAGAAAACCTATTTTCGTACAGTTCTATTTTTTTCTTGCGCTGTTTATAAATATTTAAGATATTTTATATTTTGTATACTATTGTTTTGTGGGGTGGGAAGGGGGCAAGTGGCAATTAAATGTCGCTTTATAAACAAGGTGTTATTTTATATATATCTATCAAATCAGTGTGTATATACCGTATTATCTATATCCATACATACAGTTATGTGAAGCAACAGGCTTGTGCGTGTGGTCACTGTGTCTGCTTTGCTCACACAATCGCACCGCCACTGTCTCTTAAGCCCTGTCTTGGGGAGCAGGAGGAGTCTGTTACCAGGTAGAGGACTTGTCTCCTACTATGGAAGTGTGAACAAACCCAGTCGTGGAGACTAATCAACAAAGGGAACTAAAACCAGGGGATTGCCAGAGGAATTCCTCTGACTGCTTAGTACCAAGAGCCTAGTGCACAGGCACATGCTGCTCTGGGACATGCATGCCCCTCTGGCGACATAAAGAGAAAAAGCATTTTGCTCTAGCAGGTCAAGGTTGGTGGAAGGGCTTAGCACAGAAGCTAGGACTAAATCCACAAAGGAACTTAAATTCAGCATTGCACTGCCTAACAGGTGCTCGGGTGCCTAGTAGAATCCACAGCCCTGCATTAGGTGCCCAAAAATGGGATCCATAAGAGGCAGCAAGCTGAAACAGTAGCCATCGCAAAGGGACATGAGCACCTCTTTCCAGGTTGGAGGGAAGCACCTCCCTCTCATCATGACCCTTCTCCTTTAGTTAGGCGCCTAGCTCATCACAAAAAACAGTGATAGTGGTGCCATATTAGCCCTGGAGTAAGAGCACTTAACTGGGATGGGGGAGACCCAGGTTCAGTATCTCCCTCTGCCTGATGGGGAGCAGGGATTTGAACCTACATCTCGCCCATCTGGGATTTTATGCTGTTGGTCACTTGCCATACTCCCTGTTGATGCCATACCACTTTGTACAAATAATGGACTGGTCAGTAAGGCCGGAGAATGAGTGATGCTAGTGTTTAACAAGTAGGGTTGACACCACTGGATTTTTCTTTTTACAATGTCACTGGATAATAGTGATTGTTTTTTTTTTAAGCACTTTTATCTATTTACATTTTCAGAGTTGTGCAAAATTATGGGGGGTGTCAGACAATTATTTAATAAGAGTTGCTGTTGATTCAGAAAGTTGAAGCTTTTAGGTGTTCACACAAATTGTCAACACCACCTGTCAAAATAGAGTAAATAGCCTTCAATCAATCTGCTAAATTCAAGAGATTTTTCTTACTTTGCCTATCTAAATTACAGTTCTCATCACTAGAAGTATTTTTTTAATCAGTGTGTGTGTGTGTTGGTGAAATTGAGATTTACCAATAAATCTAATTTCCCAAGACTATCTAGAGCACTCCTCTGGGACATGGGAGGCCCAAGTTCCTGTTCCTGCCCACCTACTATATCAGGCCGTGCAATCAAGCCTGGGGGGCAATACCTGGTTTGAGGAGCCTCCTGGGCCTCTGGTGCCCAGATTAAGGAAGCTGTGCACAGATTTTTAGATGCCAGGGGAATTTGGGCACTGATAAGGTTAGGAGGTAGCTGAGTGAGGCTTTTGAGGATCTAAATTTTGGATTTTAAGTACTTAAAGTGGCAGTTAAGCATCTAAATCACTCTGTGAATCTAGCCCTCAGGCAGTGGCCACTTGCAAAGGCTCCTGTGCTTCATTTTCTTCTAGAGGCTGAGGTAGGGTGACCAGACAGCGAGTGTGAAAAATTGGGACAGCATTGAGGGGTGGGGAGGGGAATAGGAGCCCCTCCACATCAACGGGTTTGATTTTTCCTCTTCAGAGCAGAAGAGGAGTTCCCCTGGTTTAGAGAATGGGCCAAACTCAAACCAGGTCTTGAACTCCAATGGCACTGGAGTGGACTTGAAGCAGTTTAGGTCCCATCTGCCCCACAGGTGCTGCTGGCAGTTTATAATATGCCTTTAGAAGGTTCCCATCACTGGGGTCTTAGGACATTCTTTACATGAATTTGAATTAGAGCAAATATGTTTCTAACACCCCCCCACCCCTCTTCACAGCAACCTCTTGAGGTTACATCTGCCACCACTGCAACTAGGGACCCTCAGTCAGCTACAAAAAGCAGAGTTAAAACAACAAACTTGTTTATTTGAGTGAAAATAAATCATCCACAACCATCCCAATGCAGGACATTCTGGTAAAGTCTCCTCGTGCCTTTAGGCAATACACATACAGTTGCTGCCCCTCCACAGAAATGTACCAAACTAGAATTAAAGTTACAGTAGGGAAAGTACTCATCGATCAGTGATAAGGCAGTTGCTCTTCAGCAGAAGATACCAGAGCCTAGTTCTCATTGCTTAGCTAGGTAGTTACAGTAAAGAGGAACTGAAAAACAGTCAGAGACCCAACGCTGTTTCACTATCTCAAACTGCCCATGATGCTAGCAATTAGCAGTGGCTGCTGCTGTTTCCCAGCAGGAACTGAAGACAGATGAGACAATAGGGTCCAGTGTGGTGCTTTTCCATTTGAATACCATGAAACCCACAGCCTTAATCCTTTTGAAGATGAAAATGGATTGAGGGTTTGTTTTTTTTTAAACAAAACTTCCCTGGGCTAATTGCAGTGAAAGCACCACCTTTCCTAGTCGGGGGAATGGGAGCATGGCTCTTGTCCTACTCTGGCACAGCAGCAGCTTCTGCAAACAACTTTACATTTAAAACCTTCTGGAAGTGAGGGTGTAGCAGGAAGAATATATTGAACGAATCCAGGAGTTTCCCTCTATTAAGTGCATCTGTGGCCAGTGTTAGGGAAGAGGGTACATAAAGAGCCTGGTCTCTTTAGTCTCTCAGCTGGAAGCCCTACCACCTACTCAGATTTAGTGCTAGGCCTTTTCTTGCTCTGATAAAGTGACTGAGCTGAATACACTAGTGCAGGAATGGGCAGGCACAAGCCTCAAGCCATCCCAGGGGGTAGAGGAGGTAGGCACCGATGAGAGATTAAAGGCAGGTGGTTTTCCTATAGGCTGTGGTCAATGGTCAGGACTGGCCTTAGGGCCTAGCTCCTTCATGGAAACAAGAACAGTGACTGAATGTGGTAAACAGGGTTCACTTTGTGTGCTTTTTTGATGCATGACAGGGTGGACCTGTAAAAATCCTTCCTAGACAGGGACAGCTGCCATCTCCTTGTTCCAGAGTTTAGTTCCCCTTACAGTGCTTTGACTGCTCCTCTTTAGCGAGTGTCTTAGCAGGAGGCGCTGGCTGTTAGGTCACAAGGGCTGGGTAGTTCTATCCCTTCTCTTACCTACTGCTGTGCTGCAGTTAGACGTGCTTGTTGGGCTTCTGCAGTTCTGTGCACCCCAACCTCAGGCTCTAGGAAGGGCTTAGTTCCTAACATTGCCCAGTTTCCCAGGGAAAACCCACACTAACAATGAATGCCAAGTTATGCTGCCAGCAGAGACGGCAAAGCAGGAGAAATCTAAAAGCAGCTTTAAAAGACTTCACTTTCCTATGTTCCTGCAGAGTTGTGTTTAGTTTCTTTAGTTATCACATACACTGCAAGAGAGACTGGTCCTATGACGACACTTCATATGCACCACTTATTTGCTCCAGGAGCAGACAGATCCTATTAAATTATCCTGAGTGTAAAAACTCTCCTGCTGCAGCGGGGATACTGCCTCCCCCACCCAAAGATCGCCCCCTGCCCAAACAAAACAGAAAACACAACACGCAGGAAAGTGCAGTGTTTCATTCCCCCTTTCTATAGTGTAACTAGGGCAAAAGGATTTACTCAAGGACCATGGGCTGCACTGGGCCAGGGATGTTCTCCCACCTCCCATGGAAGGCTGTGGGAGCTGAGTACCCATCGCTGATTTTTACTAGTGCAGCCCATATGGAGGAGGTCATGCTGAGCGTGTCCCTGGCTGGTCCTATCCATGTAACATCTCAAACCTAACCTAACTACAAAAATAAATGGGCGTTTCTGCACCCATCCATTAGCCCCATGTCCATATATAGACTGGTATCCTCTTACAGCCCCTGCACCTGAGGGCAGCATTAACCCTGGCTGGGAATAAATATCATCCTAGAACAAACTACTATTCCACTACGTAAACAGCCCTGCTTCTGCCACCGCCCCACGTTGAGATCAACATAAAAAGCAGCCACTCCGTTCCCCAGTAACACTCAGTCGGATCAGACCAGAACAATCATAGCATCTCCTTTCTGAGGCTCCCATCATGCAAGGATGTCGTAATAAATGGCCGGCTTCCTGGTCATGTCACGGAACTGCTCCAGCTTCAGGCCAACCCGGAAAAGAACGGCCTCGTCCCACCACTTTGCCATGACCTGCGAGTGGAAGAGACAGTCACCGTCACCCGCAGGGCTTTAGAGCACTGCTTGGTAAGAAAGCTCGAGGGGTGGCTTCACCAGCAGGAATAGCACAGACACAATGAATAATCTTGTAACCCTCTCAGCAACGGGGTCAGGATCCTGCTGAAGCCACCCTCTGGAATCTAGCTAGCACCCAGCTGAATGACACCTGGGAATCACAGGTCCCAACACTGAAAGGTTACCACCACCAGGGACATGTGGGGAGAAAAATGGGAGCTTTCTAGAGGGACAGGCTGAAACAGACAGAGGATGCCCTCTCCTGGGAGATGGCTGGCTTCCTAATAAACTGGGTGGTCCCTGGAGGAAAGTAGGCTTGTGGCTGCTGGGAGCAGGGCTGGCCCTAGGTGTTGCAGTTGTCTGCTGGAGGTAACAATTACAGGGCCCCATCCAGCTCTTTCCCAAAGACTGTCCCTTCCCGTAGCCCCTGTTTCTGTGCACCATGATGCCTTCCTAGCTGTCCCCGTGCTTCTGACCTCCCTTGGGATGCAGGAATTCCCACACCCCCTTGTGTGTGAGGCTCTGAAGCCCAAGGACCTTTTACATGAATGGCTCAGGAGGTGGATTTGCTGAGTAGGGGAGGCAGGTCAGGAACTCAGCCTGTGCCCGAGTCAGATGGGACTGTGACTGGGGAACTAGGGATGATGCTCCGGCTGGCGGGTCAGGTGTGTGCTTCTGGTGCGAGGCCTCTGAAAGAGCGAGACCCTATGGATGGGAAATAGGGTCAGGTAGGAACTCCTTGTAGCTAGTCTTGCCTGGGCGCTGCCAACCCCATACCAGGAACCACCCCTCTCTCTGGCCTGTCCTCCATGTGC